GCTGCCCACGGCGCCCGTCCCAAAGTGCTTGGATTAGCAGGCGGTGAGCCACCACACTGGGCTGCCTATACCTTATACTGTATATGTATTGTAGATCCGCCGGGGTCTCACTGGATACCCAGGTGCTCGGTTCTCAAACTCCTGTCTCTCAAAGTGGATGCCTCCCACCGTCAGGGCCTCCCCAGGTAGCTGTGTACTAGACGAGGGTGCACACTAACCCACACCCTGGCTGATAATTTTTACAGGGTCTTGCGTATGGCAACCATTTTAGCGATCCTACTACGGTGCCATAAGGGTTAAAAGGCTCCCCCCAAAAAGGATCTGCTTTGATCTCCCTGGTTCAACATTCATAATCCCCACTCAATTTTACTAATTTTGGGTTGGTAAAGTTGATGCACGCGTACTCTACGTCGAAGCAGCAAGAAGGAGAAAGAAAGTTACCCAGCACTGACTGTTCAGCCCAAGCAAGCCGGACTTGCACGAAGAGTATGGGGCCCAGGCACACGCCTTTGGCCAGAAACCACCGACGGGTCCGAGCGCGCATTGTGACTGTGTGTCCTCTGTCGACCTCCGCCTTCTGGGCCTGATCGGCTCCAGAAGCTTGCCCTCGGATCTGCCTCTGGAGGGCTGCTTCCAGCTCTCTGGTGGAGAGGGTCTGGAGTTCAGAAGGGCTTAAAGGACCCCAGCGCTTTTGAGGGCAGGCTGCCCGCGCGTAAACTGCATTGACGTGGGAGCCCCGTGTCTTGCTCTAGTGCCTACGGCAGTGCACTTTCTGACTGTTGAGGTCAGAGGTTTTGCGTTTGGCTACGCAGGGCTGAGAGGTGCAGTGGCGTGACCTCTCAGCTCACTGCGAGACCTCCGCATCCCCGCAGGTCAGTGATTGCTCAAGCCCCTGCCTGCCTGTAGTAGCTGGGAATTATAGGCGCACACCACCACCGTCCTGGCTAATTCTGTGTTATTTTTTGAGTAGAGAGCAGGATTTCAGCCATGTTGGCCAGTGGTCCTCGAACTCCTGACCTCAAGTGATCTGTCTGCTTCCCTCCCAAGATTCTGTGATTACAGTCGATCACTGTGCCTGCTTTTCTTTCTGTTTTTCTATTTTTTTTTTGAGACAGGGTTTTGCTCTGTCACCCAGGTTGGAGCGCCAGCCTCAATCTCCCAGGCCCAAGTAATCCTTCACACTCGCGGCCTCCCAAGTAGCTGAGACTACAGGCGTGTACCACCATGCCCAGCTTGCTTGCTTATTTATTCATGTATTTATTTATTACTTATTGAGACAAAGTCTCACTCTGTTGCCCAGGCTGGAGTGCAGTGGCCGCGATCTCAGCTCCTGCAAGCTCCGCCTCCTGGCTCACGGCATTCTCTGCCTCAGCCTCCTGAGTAGCATCACCCCTGGTCGGGTATGGTTGCATATGCCTGTAGTCCCAGCTCCTCAGGAGGCCGAGGCATGAGAATCGCTTAACCCCAGGAGGCAGAGGTTGCAATGAGCCGAGATTGCGCCACTGCACTCCAGTCTGGCCTACAGAATGAGACTTTTGTCTCTTAAAAAAAAAAAAAAAAGTAAAGGCAGTATCCTTTTCCCCATGGGGTTGTGTGAGGGGCTGTGTGTCCCAGGCTTTCCTTACATCTGTGCCTCAGTCCATCATGGCCCCAGTGTGGCCCAGCCCATCCACCTGGACAGCACCCAGCTCTCCAGGAAATTCATCAGCGACTACCTCTGGAGCCTGGTGGGTGCCCAGCTAGACTATCTTTTTTTTTTTTTTTTTTTTTTGAGACGGAGTCTCGCTGTCGCCCAGGCTGGAGTGCAGTGATGTGATCCAGCTCACTGCAAGCGCTCGCCTTCCTGGGTTCACGCCATTCTCCCTGCCTCAGCCCTCCTGAGTAGCTGACCACCACGCCGGCTAATGTTTTATATTTTTAGTAGAGATGGGGTTTCACCATGTAGCCAGGATGGTCTCGATCTCTGACTTTGTGATCCACCACCTCGCGGCCTTCCAAATGTGCTGGGATACAGGTGTGAGCCACCAGCTGGCTTT